TGTTTCGGGAGTTCACCTGCACTCAAGTATCATTTGCTGGCCATCAGGCACTGAATAATGGTTGAGGCTTAACTGATAACATTATCAGATGAAGGTATACTGTATGCTTAACATAACCAGCTTGGGGGCGTGTAGTTTCCTATTCAGATAGGGGGGGGGGATTGTGCCTCTTTACCATGGATGTAGCTTCCTATTTTTAGTTATCATTGCTAAGCATTTTTCTTCATTTATAACAATTTTTAGGGTTGGGCCCTCGAAACTAATTTCAAGAAGCCACATCCTTGCTCCCAACTGAAAAAAGAAGGTGCGTAAAATCTGTGGCGAAAATGGTTTCGATTGCAGTTTTTAGACAGACTCAGTCATTTTTGATTGCCCCACCCTTGATCCCTCAGTTCTACGCTGTTTGCAAGACTGCATCCATGTAGCTCTTCATTTACCGACAACATGATTCTACAAGTACTTGACAGCAATATCACCATTGGTTTTGTCACGTCATTGTACAACCAGCTGAGCGCGCAGGCGACCTTCATTACATTTGCATAATTATTACTGGTGCAGAAATCCCACTTTCTAACATGATCCCAAGCACTTAGTGCAAAAGCCATGCAATATTGGTATCGACAGATGCAAACGTCATTTTTAAACACCTCTACCACCTTCGTTCAACACTAGCTAGAGGCGCAAAGGGCAATGTGAGAGGCCTACAACAGTAATACTTAGTCTCTTACCTCAAAGCCGCTGTTTCAGCAGCAGAAAGCCCCGGATGAATCTTCCACATGTGTCGTTCCAACGTCCTCCGCTTACCTTCGGCATATCCTCAACGACATATATACGACTTACATTATTCCTTTGTTGGTTATTGTGACGTGATATACGATGGACTTTTGACAACCAGCGACTCCCTTAGACTTGACAGACTGTACAGAGCAGCAAGACTAATCACCGGTGCACTCTGCAGAACACACACTCACGCACTGTTGGACGATCCGGGATGGAACAGTCTCAAATCACGAAGAAACATGCACAAAGTGACAATGTTCTACAGACTCATAAACAACCAACATCGCCAACAAAAGTCACAGCACTTCCACCTGACACACGAGCACTTGCGATAGGACGCCCACTACGTAATACAATGACACATTACCACCGAACAGAACCTCAACATACCAAAAATCCTATATTCCATCAACTACGAGAAGATGGAACCAGCTCCCGCTTGAGGTGTCATCTCTCCAGTCTTCTCGTTCCTTCAAACGGGAAATATACCAGCGCTGCGGTTGGCCGCGCCTCCGGTGTATCACAGCTTTGGATCCAGGCATGGTAACATCCTAAATACTAGGCTAAGATTGGGAGTGTTAGACCTGGGTACCACCTGTTCGAAATTCAAGATCCAACTACACATAGTCCCTCTTGCTTATGTGGCTATCCATATGAAGACCCTAAACACTTTGTACTGAATTGTCCTCGCTTTCATGAAATCCGAATTTCAATGCTACTTAAAACAGATCGCATCATTCCAAACTATTCTTAGCTCACTCCCAACGAGGAACTAAGTATCTATCTAACAGGTAACGGTTTACATGATCGCAATGGGCAGCACATAGCAAAAATTGTTTAAACCTTTATTTGTCAGACCAAACGCTTCGCCTAAAAACTTCCACCGGGCCACTGGGTGGCGTTGCCGGGCCGGGCGTCCGCCGCCGGCCCGAGACGGCTATATGTGTAGACTGGAGCGGCGGCGGGCGCCTGGCCCGTGTCGGCTTACGGATCGGGCGGGTGGGCGGTGTGTCGTGAGTTCCCTGGCGGCGATGACCATATCTTGTTATTGTTAGGAGAGGAGCTCAGATTTAAGCGTTCCGCTTATGCGCCAATCCACTCATCATATCATGTACCGCGTAATGCCCATAATCGAAAATAAACATCAAATCAAAATCAAACGTCTGGGGCCACAGTTCAGATGTTCACAAACAGCAATCCTAGATCGATAGGGCTTTTTAACGTCACTGCGTTAAAAAGATGACGATTAGTCGCGTTCTTCTAGCCAGTCAGCCTTTCACGACATAACCACAACTGGCAGCATCCCACAGACCTGCACTGAACCCAACGCTTTACCGCGTGGCGAGTAATCAAGCCCACATGTCTCAAATGACGCGACGTTTTTAAACCCCGCGTAGCAAACTGATCACGTTCGCTGCAAGATGCTGCGGCCAGCCACGATCCTTACAACTAGTAATGAGCCTAATTATTTGGTATTTTATACTGTTAAGTATGTGAAGTAAATCTCGGATGGAAAATCTGTGAAAAACACTGGTCTGAGTGGCGTTGGAACAACACTGTGTCGCCGCTGATCTGTAACGTCAGCACTGGTATAATATAGTTTGCAGCATATTTCTGGCACCTGTTAAAACTATCCTGATTAAGGCTACAATGTTTAGCAGCATCTTATTGCTCAATTCGTTTATAAAGCGGAACGTTAGCATTTCGACATGTGTTCTACATATGCTCACGCTGTGAGTGTTAACGAGCACAGACCAATACCAAGCCTTTAAGTTTCGTTAAGCCGAGATAGCGAGTTGTAATATGGTCTGGTCTATTTAAATTTGCTTGCATTTTCGCAATTTCGTCACCATTTGGTTTGCAAAGATGTCAGCTTTTATTACCGATCATGCCCGGTAAATCAGAAACTTGTTTCACTCCCGCATGGGGGGTTCCATATGAACTCACTTGTGTCAAATTTTGAGGTTTCTAGGTCAAACCCTGACAATTGGGCCAAATAAGGGCAAACAAGTTTAAACTCCAAAATCGGTGTCCGAAGCGCCCTCAAACCCCTCACGCAACCAGCCTACGTCTAGATATCACGCATCAACTACGTGTTAGTGGAATTTAATCAGATCAATGACCTTTTCGACCTTTATAAGATGACACCGCCTAAATCATGCGGGATTACAATGATGGCTGAATTTACAATCGACGCCAAATACTACCGGAGGCGCCACACTCCTGAAAGCGAAATGTTGGTAGAGATCATTTCAGGCCAGTGACGATTGTTTACTTTCATGAAGTCAGCTAAACATTTCGGACTTCGCTGTAGCCAATTAATTTGATATAGGTGTCAAACATGTCTAAACACACCGAATATCACGTTTTCCATTGGTACAGCGATTCTGTTTTGACCATGGTCTGACCATTGTACCACACCCAAGGTTAACACGCGCTCGGGTGAGGGGGCTCAAATTGACCCCCAAAAGTTTTTCCAAAATTATTTCCGAACGGCGCTGCGAAGCCGCGCCACATTTTGCCTAACTGTAGACAATTGAATAGTGGATCGTCTGACATAAAAATTTAGACGTACCTTGTAAGGTCGCTGACCTATGGGCAGGTCAAAGTCAGGGCACGGTTTCATCGAAGGCAATATTTAGGGAATCCTTCAATCTGATCCAACAACGGAGTGTTACACGAAGCCATACATATCTGAGATGCTTTCTTAGGCAACACAACAGTTGGATGAGCAAATTAAATTGACCTTAGGTCAGGTACGAAGGTCACACCGAGGTCAAACCCAACCTGTTTTATTACTCTAGGGTTTGCTGTATGCGATAGTTTCTGGAGCTCGTGTCGAGCTTATTGATAGCAGGAACCGCATTATATTTCTTCCATGGACTTCTTAGAGGCCAGAATAGGTCATTGAGCTAAAATAACCTAGGTCAACATTTTGTTTTAGGAACATACCGCCTAGCGCAATCTTTGTCGCTTAGTCAAATGCAAAACTCAAAGCAATCTTGTATGATTTTGGTCACCTTGACCTTCAAAAGGCCAAAAAGGTCACTGACCTTAAATGAGAATGTGATCTTTTGCTAAGAAACGGTTATCTACGTTCTGAGGGAACTAGGAGACCAACCTAAAACTTGACCTTGTTTGGCCTTTTTCGACCTGAAGTTCATGACCTAGCAGCCTGAAAATTTGACCTAAGTGAGTTCACGTACAATTCAACACACCCTGTAAGTGTGGTGTCTCTAGCGCTTTTAGTTCCCGAGATCTTAGTGGAATTAAATTGCCCCCCCCCCCAACCGAGCGAAGGGTATCTAGCCGGCCACCCGGGCGCGTGTTAATATATGTAGTCGTAATCCTAATATCAATAGCTTAGCTATCTAGAAGACCATTTCAAAGCTGTATAACTTCCTCTGATACGACGCTGTCGCATTATATTGCATGATTCCCCAGGAATTGCCTTCGCTGACAGCCATGGGCCAACATTTACCCGTCATAAGTCGACGAACTTGCAATGGATGTCCAATTTTTCATGCCAAAAGATCGGCCACGCAACTGCCTGCAGCACTACAAAGTTTGACGGGCTACGCCGCGCCACTCAGAACTTGTTTTGGAAAAACCTTGGGAGGCATCAAAGTGACCCCCCACATCCGCGTGCGTGCTAACGATTCACCATTTTTGCCAATTTATAGCCGAATTCAGCGGTTATAAATTAAACCAATGCATCACAAACACCTCACTATATGATTTGAAATGCTAGGCGTTGCCATTCATCAGTATCCATGCCATGAATGACACGACGTGCCATGGCACAGGCTCGACCGGCACTTGTGAAAGTGCGCCAGTGAGCTTGACATAGACAGAGGACACGCTCCGTGCGCTCTGCCCGCACCTGACGACAACATCCGCACGTCCGAGCACCGCCCTCTTCACCCCGCCGCCTCCATCGCCACCGACCCTCGAACACTTTCGTTTCCTCGCTGATGCGGAGCCGACGCCGGCGAACCGTTGACCTAACAGTGCGACCGACACGCGGCCTGCGGCGCGCCCGGGCGGCGTCCACGTCCACGTCCGGACGTCCACGGGCGCAGAGGCGTCGGCGCGGCGCAACGCTCTCGGAGGCGGCCGTGCGGCGCCCGCTCGGTCACGGCGCGACGCTCCGTTACCCTCGCCGTGACGCGCCGCGACGGTGCCGCGGCTGAGTCGGGCCGCGGCCGCCGCCGCGCCGAGACGCCGCCATGCGCGCCGCCGCGCCGCTGCTGCTGCTGGTGCTGGTGCTGGTGCTGGAGGGCGCCGGCGCGTTCCTGACGCACCGCTGGCTCGTGCCGAACCTCTACTTCCCCATGATCCGCGCGCTCGACCGCAAGACGACGACAGCGCGCAAGGTGTTCGGCGGGCTCACGCGGCTGTTCTGTGAGTACGCCGCCGGACGGCGGGCGCTTACACGGCACGAAGTGGACCCCTCCGCGAGGGAGATAGCTGGGGCGTCTGCTGGGATATCGTGGTGTGCTACAGACTTGTTAAGACCGCTCCGCACACCTACCACGCCACTTTTGTTGTCCTGCTGCAGTCTTGTACGAGCAAGTATATTTTTCAGACACCCAGGCTTTGAATTACGGCGTGACACGCCTCGTTTAGCTTTACTTAGCTTTGCTTTGGAAACAGGAGAACTAACCGCGTATGCAGCGTGAAAACTGGGCAGGTCATTGCACCATGGCGGCTGCAGAACATTATATTGTTTCAACGGCTGGCCCCGGGCAATCGGTTTGCCCCCCCCCCCCCAACCGTTCCCTCCCGGATCACCAGTTCGTCCCTCTGACCATATAATTGTTATCCCCCCTCCATCCATGCTCAGACAAAGCATTGCTTTCCTGCTAAAGGAAGTAGTGCTTCCTGAAACCATCTGCTGGCACGTCCGTTACGGCGCCTTGCGGCTATAGCGCCCGTTTGTGGTACGGCAGCAGCATGTGGCAGCCTTCTGCTGTTCGCGCATGCGCACCACAAGCCTCAAAACGAATGCGGTCAGTCGTGGAATGCGTGCAACCAGTGCTAGCGGCCAGAGGCCCATTCTCTATTTGCAAATGGTAGCCCATTCCCCAGCTACTGTTAGCCCGTTCGGCCCATGACATGGTTACCTGACTTACCTGTGACGTCACGATCGAAGCCCATTCCTTACTTGTCTGAGAGAGGGAGAAAGTGAGCTTGTTTACAAAGAAGTCGTAGCTGTTTACATAGCAACGCCCAGCAACGAGCGACGCTCTGCTTATGTCCTTGTATGTCGGGCAACCGGGTAGTTCTCAACCGTGTGTCGATCGCGTGATCGACAACGTGTTTGACAACAAACTTGCCAGCATCGGGGCCATGAAATAATGTCCGAATGTGTCATTACTGCGCGCTACATGTCTGCGGAATCAGCTAATTCTTTTCCTTTCCCAAAATTGGACATACAGGCGTTTTTGATAGACGCGTGTGACGCGCTTGCCTAAGAATCAAACGTTGCTCCCGCAATGGGTGGAGCTTGGCTCTGAAAAGCTGGGCCCTGGACTACAACACGTGCGCGACGTCCAGGCATAGCGCAGGGTTGGCACGCACACAGGAATGCAGGTGTGAACGCAGGAATGGCGCACGTGCTGCAAACAGGACACGCTTCATTCCTGCGTGCCCCTGGCGAACAAAGCACATACCGACATAGATAATAAAGCCGCGTCTGTACAAGTCGGTTACGCACGCGTGGAACGCGAGTCAAGCGCACTTCCTGTAGTAACAGCTGAAGACGGTTGAACGGCACGTTTGTGAATCGGATGGGGTGCATATGTGGGGAAGTAATGCGACAGGGATGAGCAGAGGGTGGCAACAGTAAGGATGCAGAGACCACATGGCAAGAAATGTTTACTCGTGTTGTGCCGCATAAACGTAACCCGAGGGATCTTATCATCATATTTGCTGACAGTGGCCCGGACTGTTCGTCCCAATGGGAATAAGAGGCCAACAGGAAGCAGCTAATATGGCTAACAAATGAGATCTGAAGGAACAGAATATGAAGAAATGGCACTTAGTAAAGAAGCAGCACTCACGAGTGGAAGCCGAAAAGCAATGGCTTGACACGCGTCGCTGACACGGGGCGGCGACAAGAGTTCGGGTTGACAAGAGGAGGAGATCTCACGGAGACAACGCTGAAGAAGACTACTGCGGGGCGAGAGGGTCATAACAATGCAGGAGGCGACAACTGAAGATGAGGATAGAACAGGTCCAACCAGAGGAACAGAGTCGACAGCCTGGCAAAGAGGACGTGAACAATGAACAGGACAACGGAATGGAATAGGCATTACGCAAGACGATGCGGCGAAAATGAGGCAAGTTAGAAAAGGAAGCGCAATTGAAAGAAGGGGGGTGGACAATAGAATCTGGGCCAATCTCCAACTGCAAGGGGAACGCCGAAATCTAAGACCTCTGGAAACCTGTTTCACAGTGCTAATCACCGGCGCTTTATTTCATTTGGAAATGGACGTCAAATTCGCAATGTCAATCACTGCATGCCTAGTATAGCGAGGGCAGCATTGTCGTAGAAGTTTTTCTGCAATGATATTAACAAACAAAATGTAATGCCAAAGCCACCATCGGTGATGAACGCTATTAGGGACGAAATGTTTCTTGGTGCGAGTAAAGCGGACACTTAACTGGCCTCGTGGGTTGTTGCGCTATGTTGGGCTTTGGAAAAAACCATAAAACACTTACTCTGTTACTTACCTCATGATCAGATGTCACAATTAGAGCTGACCGTTCAGCATTTATTCAGCTCACTGGGGTGACAACGTTCCCACAACTGAATTTGCTTCAGCGTTTCCCAGCCGGAGCGATGAACATCGCTCAATGCATGGGTGGAGCCTGGACAGTAGGGAGCCGCTTCATACAATCTTATGATGCCCAGCCAGACAAATGATCGTTTGTGCCTCATCCCTAAGAGTGCCATTGTGACAAATTATTGAAGAGCAGCCACCCCATCTCACGTTGCGGCGTGCGATCACGCTCTTTAGCCGGGTGGATGAACTGAAAGTCATTCATTCGGCTGAAGGCCTTCACCATTAGTACTGCATGAACCTCGTACCATGGCCACACAGGTTAAAGTGCTGAGAGGAACGCCTGGAATATCCTCGTGGAAAGAGTCATCGTCTGACAAACTGGTACAAACGGTGGTTAAATGCAAACAGGCGGGGAATAACAAGTCCCATCGGATGTGTCGGAACTTGCCGACCAGCTCGTGAGAGATGGGAGAGATTTAGATTTGGATGAGATTTACACTGCAGCGAACAACTTGAGCATGACTTGCCAGCCAACTAACTGCACAACGATCACAGCGGCCTTTAAAACCCAAGGAACAGTCAACGACGTTAGAAAGGGATTCAAATCGCTGACGGCACCACAGGCTTAAGGTTTGACAACGCACTGACCAGGTATCACTGATCACTCTCAGGATTCGATGTCAGTGGTGTGTTGCCTCCACTTATAAACCGTGTGCTGTGTTGTACTCTCAAGTAGGACGTAAGCGCAGCGTAAAGACGAACACGACGTCGTGCTGCGCGCCGTCCGTGCAGGCTGTGCAGCATGAACGCGTTCTTGTTACCGCAGATGTGTGCATGGCCGCCCAGACATCTCCATATGCACGGTGTTAGAATGAATCTTTGCATCCCTTTGGGGAGTCCTGTCCCTCCATCGCGCCCATTGTTGTCTCAGCATCACAACTTTGACCAGCTTAGAAAAACTGATCAAAAATACTAAATGCTTAAAAAGTTGCTATGTTTAAGTCTGTTGTCTTGTATTATCTCCCTGTGATGACGTCAGTAATCATGTCTCTGCATGCATGTGTGTATGTACATATATGTATACCTCCACGTTGGATCTCGTCCTAGTGGTGGTTGGACCCGTCCCTTTTTCATCAAAACAGCTAGGTAACACATTAGGCCGTCGAGTATATAGAGCACGCAATTTTCCCTAAAATGGATGGCGGCAATCAAGCGGTTGGTACCGTGGATGTCGAGCTGTCTAGGCGGCCATGCACACATCTGCGGCAACAAGAACGCGTTCATGCTGCACAGCCCGCACGGGCGACGCGCAGCGCGACGTCGTGTTCGTCTTTACACTGCGCTTATTTCCTACTTGAGAGTACAACACAGCATACGGTTAATAAGTGGAGGCAACACACCACTGACATCGAATCCTGAGAGTGATCAATGATACCTGGCCAGTGCGTTGTCAAACCTTTAGACTGCGGTGTTGTCAGCGATTTTGACAACCATTTTGGCAATGATTAACATCGGTACCTAGACCTCCTTCAATACTCCCTCTTGCCAATAGATAGATACATAACCAAGTTCAGTACTGCAGTACCAACCACTTGATTGCCACCATCCATTTTAGGGAAAATTGCGTGCTCTACGTACTCAATGGTCTAATGTATTACCTACATATTTTGATACTACGACAGTTAATTTCTTTGTTTTGCGCGTTAAATGCCATAAATGAGCTACTTGTGTTGATATTTTACTTAAAGCGATGCACAGCATTGTGTCATTGATGCTGTAGAGAGTGCGGTGACATCTCACCGCGCATTTGGGAACGTCATTTCGTGCGGGTGAAACTTTGTCCAGAAAGGTGCCACTGACAGTGGGGTTTTACCACCTTGATATGCCTGCTTACAAAACTGGTCAATTCACAAAATGGCAATCTCTTTAAACCAAGAATAAAGCACCAGCCCGTCCTTGCAGAAGTGTATTCGACCGCACACATCTTCGGCGGCGCGTTTGGCAGTGACGTCAGCGTCCGGCTCTGTCCAAGTTTGGCAGTGACGTCAGCGTCCGGCTCTGCCCAAGTTTGGCAGTGGCATCATCACTCTGTTCCGCTTGAGTTTGACAGTGACGTCACCATACTGTTCTGCTTGAGTTTGGCAGTGACGTCAGCGTCCGGCTCTGCCCATGTTTGGCAGTGACGTCAGCGTCCGGCTGTGCCCAAGTTTGGCAGTGGCGTCATCATCCTGTTCTGCTTGAGTTTGACAGTGACGTCACCATCCTGTTCTGCTTAAGCTTGGCAGTGACGTCAGCGTCCGGCTCTGCCCATGTTTGGCAGTGACGCCAGCGTCCGGCTGTGCCCAAGTTTGGCAGTGGCATCATCATCCTGTTCTGCTTGAGTTTGACAGTGACGTCACCACCCTGTTCCACTTGAGTTTGGCAGTGACGTCACCATCCCGTTCTGTCCGCGTTTCGCCTCCTCCTGTTTACTGCACGGCCACCGGCCGAGCCAGCGCCAGCCTCGCCTGCAGAGAAAGCCGGCGAGAGAAGCTCCGGCACGGCCGCGGGTCCGGCAGTCGGAAACCGTGACGACACAGTGCACACGGGTGCAGTCTTGCATGGGCTCCACGC